TATTCTGTTTGCTGATGGTGAATTCCATCACCCTTTGTATGCCTGAGTAAGTCTTAACTTCACCTTCATTTTTGAAAGATTTTTTTTTTTTAAGAGAGGGAGGGGGGGTGCAGAGGGAGAGGGAGAGAGAAAATCTTTTTTTTTTTTAAGATTTTATTTATTTATTTATTTGACAGAGAGAGAGCACAAGTAGGCAGAGCGAGAAACAGGCTCTCCACTGAACAGGGAGCCTGATGTGGGACTCGGTTCCAGGACCCTGGGATCATGACCTGAGCTGAAGGCAGACGTTTAACTGACTGAGCCACCCAGGCACCCCGGAAGAGAAAAAATCTTAAGCAGGTTCCACAGCCCATGACCTGAGCTGAAATCAAGAGTCAGATATGTGTAACCAACTAAGTCACCCAGGCAATTCCATTGGGTATAGAATTCTAGATGTATTTTGTTCTTTTAAGATGTTGCTCCACTGTCTTCTGGCCTGCCTTTCTCTGACAACAATTTTTCTATCATTCTTATCTTTTTTCCTTTGTAAGTAATGTTAACTTTTTCTTTGGCTGCTTTTAAATTTTTTTCTTCATCACTGATTTTAAGCAATTTGGTTATGATGTGTCCTGGTTTGTCTTTTCTCATGTTTCTTGTTCTTGCAGGTAGCTGAGCTTCTTGGGTCTATAAGTTTATACTTTTCATCAATTTTGGAAACATTTCAACCATTACATCTTCAAATAGTTTTTCAATTCCAATTTCACTTATACTAGGCTTCTCAAAATAGTCATACAGCTTACTGATGCTTTTTTCATTTCTTTTTCTTTATGCGTTTGGGTAGTTTTCATTGCTTTATCTTTTTTTTTTAATTTAAATTCAATTTAGTTAACATAGTGTATTGTTTCAGGGGTAGAATTTAGTGATTCATCAGTTGCATGTAACAACACCCAGTGCTCATCACATCAAGTGCCCTTCTGAGTGGCTAAAATTAACAACTCAGGAAACAACAGATGTTGGTGAGGATATGGGAAAAGAGGAACCCTTTCACACTGTTGGTGGAAATGCAAACTGGTACAGCCATTCTGGAAAACAGTATGGAGTTTCCTCAAAAAGTTAAAAATAGAACTATCCTATCACCCAGCAATTGCACTACTGGGTATTTATCCAAAGGATACAAAAATAGTGATTCAAAGGGGCACATGCACCCCAATGTTTATAGCAGCAATGTCCACAATAGCCAAAGTATGAAAAGAGCCCAGATGTCCATCGAGAGATGAAAGAATAAAGACAAATGGAATATTACTCAGCCATTAAAAAGTATGAAATCTTGCCATTTGCAACAATGTGGTTAGAACTAGAGAGTATTATGCTAAGCAAAATAAATCAGTCAGAGAAAGACAAATACCATATTATTTCACTCATTTATGGAATTTAAGAAACAAAACATGAGCATAGAGGAAGGGAAGGAAAAATAAAAACAGAGAGGGAGGCAAACCATAAGAGACTCTTAACTATAAGAAACAAACAGGGTTGCTGGAGGGGAGCTGGCTGGAGGATGGGGTAATTAGGTCTTTAAACTCACTACTTTTGTCTTCTGTTGTGTCTAGTTTATTCTTAATTCTATTAGTGTATTTTTCATGTCAGACTTTGTATATTTCATCTTTAGCAGTTCTCCTTGGGTCTGTTTCATATCTCCCATGTTTCTTATACTCAAGCTTTTCTGTACTCTATTGAACACAGCAAGTATGATTATAGCTGTTATGTTGTCCTTATCTGCTGATTCTATCATCTGGTCTGTTTCTTTTTATTCTTTTTCTTCATTATGGTTTGTATTTTCCATTTTGCTATATTCTTTTCATGTCTGGTAATTTTTTATTGGATACCAGGCATTGTGAATGTGACTTTGTTGGCTATTAGATATTGGGTTTCCTACATCTATTCTTAAGCTTTGTTATGGGACACAATGAAGTTACTTGAAGACAATTTGATACTTTACAGTCTTGCTTTTAAACTTTTTTTTTTTTTTTTGCTTTTAAACTTTGTAAGGCAGGCACAGAACAGCCTTTATTTTACTACTGAGGTAATACCATTCTAAGTACTCTGCTTCTCTGTCAAACATGAGAGTTTCTAATTTGGCTGGTGGAACTCAAACTATTCTTGGCCATGTGTGAGCTCCAAAAATTGTTTCACCTTGTTCTTTCATGTGGTTCTTTACATGACCATGTGTAGTGGTCACTTGTGGTCATCAACACTCAGCTGCAGATCTCTAGAGCTCTCTGTTCAGCTCTCTTACTTTGGTTCCCTAGCCTGTGAAATCTAATTGTCTTATCTTCCCTGGCCTCCTGACTCTTTTCCTCAACTCTGAGAGACTTCTAGTTTCTACCCAGGTTTCCCGTCTATGCCATGTAGTCTTGAAACTCTTTAGGCAGTAAAGTGGAGCAATTACCAGGCCCAACTAACTTATTTTCTCTATTTCACAGATCAGTGCCCTTCATTGCTAGATGCCCAATGTCTGGAAATTGTTGTTTCATGTTTTTGTCCCAATTTTTAGTTGTTTCAGGCAAGAGAGTATATCTTATCCCTATTACTCCATTTTGGCCAGAGCAGAAGATGGCATACCAATTCATAACGTTCTTTTTAAAATCTCTGTTGTACCTTGGCTTTCATCCCTTTTATCATTTCTAAACTGCTTTTTATACTTTTTATCTTTTATCTTGAAGACTCTGCCAAATTCAGTTATATCAACCCTCTATATTCTATGTTTTTATTTACTTCGTTAATTCCTGCTCTTAATTTTGTAATTTCCAATCCTTTATTCCCTTTGGATTTGTTCTATATTTCTTTTTTGAATTTCTAGGGATGTTTAATACATTTGTTATAAACCTTTCTTTTCTAAGAAAAGCATATTGAGGCTAACAATTTACTTTGAATTACCACTTCAGGTACATTCCACAAGTTTTGATATATAGCTTTTTCTTAATATTCAGTTCTAAGCATTTTTAAATTTCTATTATGATTTACTCTTTGACCTATGAGTCATTTGGAAAATCACACTTTAAAAACCTTATGACAATAAATAAGTGAATAAAAACATCATCCTATTAATGTCTAAGTTGTGATATGACTGCACGAAGTTCAAAAGTTGATGAAATGTGCTTTATGGTTTAGTATGTGCTGTTTTAGTGAAAGTTCCATGCATGCTAAAAAAGAATGTGTATTATTAATTGATTCACATCTTTTATATATTTACTAGTCAGTGGAATTTGTCAGTTTCTAAGAGAGATGTGTTAATTTCCCAAAACAATGGTGGGCTTGTCCATTTTTTCCTTGTAGTTCTGACTGTTTTTTATGTATTTAGATGCTACGTTACTTTGTGCATACAAATTTAGAATTAGTATAACATTTTTCAAATTCAAGTGAGAATTTGTATATTTATGCGTTAAAAAAACAGAATAATAGTTATTACAAATTTTATTTTCAGCTTATGTGATGACTGAATTTAAATAAAACACAACCAGTTGAAACCTAACTGAAAATGTTTTCTTTTTTAGTTGTTACGGTGGGAACAATGGATTTTGCTGCTGAGAGCTGAAGACATAGCAGCCCTATAATGCCAAGATGAAAGTGTGATAAGATTGAAGGTTCAATCACAACTTTTCATGGTGAAATCTTCTGTACAGTGCACTAGAGAATGGCCATCATCCAAAAAAGCAGTCAGTTTATAGAATGAAAGAGCACAAAACCTTTGGTCTAGGGATTTACTGTTAAAATAGGTGACAGGGAACAGATTGGTTAATAAAATGATGTGACTCAAACAAAAGAGGACTAACAACAGAAGTCCTGCTCCCGATCTCTGTTATAGGTAATTTTTCTGTAAACATCTTTGCCATAAGCATTTTCCCTTCAAATCTTTTTAAAGCCTAACTAATTGGCCATAAGACAATTCTGCCTTAAGAGATAAAATACCCGACTGATAGTCTGGTTTAATTCTCCATTGATGAATCAACCAGCTTTAGCAAAGTTAATGTATTGAAGCTAGGTGTCCATTTGGTTTCATTTCTCCATTGACAAAATTCCCATTTTTTATTCTATAAATCTTAGCTCTCCTAACAGTCTATACAGTATTCTGTTGTTTTGTAGTGCCCTTTATTTTGACTACCCGTATATCTGGATTCATTTTGACCATGTTATTTTGTCCTGTTTCTCTTTTTTCTATTCTCTTTTTCTTTCCCTTCCCCCTTTTTTGCCTTTTGACTAAAGTCAGTCATCTATTTTTTTTTAATCTCTACTTGTTTGAGAGTTCATATTTTCCTGTTACCCTAGGAAGCTTAACAAATATATTTAACTTAACAAAATCTGAAGTTGATAGTTTTACATTCCTCTCAATCAATGTAAGAGTCCTACCCAAATATAGTGGTACTTTGGTTGAAAATTAGTTTAGATTTTAAAGAATGCTTAGTGAATGACATACACAGAGTGCTCATTTTATAATTATCTGTCTTGGCCAAAAACTGGAACAAATACCCAGATAAACTGACTCATATTCATACAATGGAATACTATAACAAAATAAAAATGAACAAACTCATGCTACACAAAATTTGTGGATGGATCTCACAACATAATTTTGAGTATAAGAATCCATCCTCACAAATGCATATTGTGTAATTCTATTTACATAAAGTTCAAAAACAAGCAAAACTAACCTATGGTGACAAAACACAGCAATGATTACCTTGGAGGGTAATGAATGACAGAAAGCAGAAAGATTTCTGAGATGTTACTGGTGTTCCGCATCTTGACCTGGGAGGTGGTTATGCAGGTGTGTTCACTATGTAAATATGTATCAAGCTATATACACTTCCGTGCACTTTTCTGAATACAGTTCCACTTCAGTAAGATTTTACTAAAAAGTAAAAATAAAAAGACTCTGTGCTTCTCTTTACCAAATAAAAGCATGGCAATTATTTTGTTAAATATTCTATTTTACCTATCTTTTATTGTTTTTGATAATAATAATGATCCTCTGATTAACACTGTGTCACTTAGAATTTCATTTGGCCTTAGCCTGTGCAGCCAATGCAGCTTCTTCACGCCACTTAGCTTTCTTTGCCAGGTTCCAACTCGTTAAGGATTCATGTCGTTCTGCAGCCTTAAAGATAAAAAAATAAAAAACAAAAAACAAAGCAAAGCGTTGTGACTCTCTGGAAAGGATTTGTGTTTCAGATAGACATACATAGGAGATAACTCTGTGAAAAGGAGAAAAGTAACTTAAAACATCTGTCACAAATAGTATCCAAGAAAAATGATCCTTTGGTATAGAAAAAAAATTTTGTAAGTTGTGAGACTTCTAGTCAATAGGACAACTGACATCAGAAATCTGCCCTGGCTCTCTTGGCTCACAAAGACATATTTTTTGGATTAAAAAAAATAACAAAAATATTTTCAAATGGTTATGTTCAAAATCAAGAAAGGGGAATCCTCAGGTATCTGAAATGGAAAGAACTCAAAAGGCAAGAATTGGTGGGTAATAAGAAGGACTGAGGCCAGGTTGGGAAGGAATGGTTTCAGGCAGGGGGCATTAGGGGAAAATATTGGTTTTAACAGCTGTGAGCTGGGAGTTTAATCTCTACCCCCAAAAGGTGAGTCCAGAGTTTGGATCTGGGGTTGGAAGTATCAGGTACTCCACTGAAATGACTAGAATTCCTCTTACCAGCCCAAGGAACTGGCAAGGAAACTAGGCATTTATCTGGGGTGGGAGGGCAGGAATCACCTCTGAAAAGATAAGATGATCAGCATCATAAATGGGATGTAAAAACTCTAGCTAGAGGGATGCCTGGGTGGCTCAGTCAGTTAAGTGTCCACCTTCCGCCCAGGTCATGATCCTGGAGTCGCAGGATTGAGCCCCACATCCATTTCCCCACTCAGTGGGGAGTCGGCTTCTCCCTCTGCCCCTCACCCTTCTTGTGCTCTCTCTCTCTCTGTCTCTCAAATAAATAAAATCTTTAAAAAAAGAAAAACCTCTAGCTAGAAAATAGGTCTGAGGGCATGATCTAAGTGCAGTACAGAGATATAGATACCAAAAATAGAAAAAAAAGTTAAGAGACATGGAGAATCTAATTAGAAGTTCCAGCACACATGCATAGTAGGTGGAAAGAATAGACAGAATGGGTGAAGGGGCCCTATTTGAAGTTACGACAGCTTAGACTTTTCAGAAGTGAGGGAAGCTGAATATAGGTCCTTAGACTGAAGAGTGTACACAGTCCTTAGCAGAATAAAAAAAATTAATAGATACTGTTGAATGCCTAATCTGCCCCTCACACTTAATATATCCACAGTATGGGACTGAGTGTATTTTGCCTGTCGTGCCTACCAGTTCTCTCCCCAGCTTTACACATCTCCACAAATGGTGGTACCACCCACCTAGTTACTGAAGTAAAAAACCCAGGCTTTTTGGTTTCTTTTTTCCATTTTCTTTCCTCTTCCCACATCAAATTTACTTCAAAGTTCTACCCTTTCTACCTCCCCAAATATATCTCAAATTGCTAACCTTTTCTCCACCTCCGTTTATCACAGTCTCAGTTAAAGTATATGCGTTGATTATTTAAAACAAAAGAATTGGACAGAAGCAAGAGGGAGACTGTGAGACCCACTAGAAGATATTGCAATCCATTAGGCAACAGATGTTGGTTATGTCAGACCAGGGTGATATCAGGAGAGATGGTGAGGAGTGGTCCAATGGTAGGTATATTTTAAAGTGGAGTCGAGGATTTGCTGATGTATAATGGCTTACTCGTGAGCAGCTGGGAAGATGATAAAATAGCACTTGGGCAAGGCCATTTTAGAGGGGGTGGTCAGGGAAGGTCTCTGACTGGAGTGAGAATAAGCCACCTATGGCAAGGCCAGGGGAAAGAAGGAAGCCTAGGTAGCTAAAGGGCTGAAGTTTGGAATTCGCCCTCTGGGAGAAATGCTGTGGAGAGATGTCTGTGATGCCTACGTAATGGCTCCTACCACTTGAACCTACAGGCTGTGATGAGAAGTGAAGAGCTGCGTCCTTTCTCCCTGGCTACTACGGGTTTTGTTAACACAGAGGATATCTCCTATCTGGTGTTGGGCATATCCTAGGAGCTTCCAGCTAGCTTTCCTTTATTACCCTGTGTGAGCAGCTGTCAACTTACTGGAGGAAAGAAATTGCCCAGAAATTTTGAGATGCTTAAGTATTTTTAGACCAATTAGACTTCTTTAACATAAATACTTGTTTTTATCAAAAGGATTCCAATAAAATATTTTAAAGCAAAAAAAAAAATAGAACTAGTGTGGATGGAGCACATAATGAACAAAGAGAAGATATAAAACAAGGAGGGTCCAGACAATATCAGGCTCTAGTCTGTCATTTAGGAGCTAGAGAATCATCACCTTGGTGGACAGTCATTTTATCTAGAGTAGGTTATAAACAAGAGATGACCAAATTTCTTTATTTCTATGTTTGAATATTTAAGAAATATTTAAGAAATTTCTCCTTTGATGAGAATCATTTCAAAGCACACGTTCTCTGCCACGCTAATAGAAATGAATGGATACGTACATGACATCAGTAAGCTTACAGCCTCGGTCCCTATGTGAATGCGTGGGCTCAAATGCTCAAATACAAGAGGGAGAATGGTAATTGGCTACACACGCCCAGAGAGTGAAGAAGTACGGACCCAAGCAAACTCTTCTGTGTGATGCGGCTGCCAAAACTAGTTCCAACTCTGGCTGCGCTTCTAGGATGCAGTTCACGAACAAGTAAGTTACAGTGGTGCTCTGACGGGTTCAGTTGCAAATGCCACAATGAAGAGGGACACTGATAAACTGCAGTGTGTTCAGAGGAGAGCTCAAAATAGAGGGAAGTTGTAAGGGATAGGGAAATTAAGACTGGATCAGAGAAGACTCGTGGGGAGGTGTTAGATGTCTCCCAATATTTGTGGGGCTGCTCTTCATGGTAAAAACTGATCAGCAGATGAAAGGATTTGGGGAAGCAAAAAACACAATTAGAGTAATCAGCTCTTAGTTTGTCTCTAGAAACCACGTACTGGAGATGACAAGGAAAGGGCTCACATACAGGATATAGACAAACAAGTTGGCCTTGATCGCTTCCAATGTTTGCCATTTCTGATGATTTCGTGATTCTATACGACAGCTCTGATTGAGTTCATGGCTTGGGGAACAATCTAGTCTGGGTAACTTTCACACAACAAACTTCTTGTGCAGATTTTAACCAGGCTATGAACTGTCCTGTTTTTGTTTTCATCTTATAAATGGAAACAAACTTTTGTTCCTCCTGTCTGCCCATGTAGTTTACATTTGTGGACTCAAATTTTCATGAAAGAAATTGTTTCCAGGAGGATAGATATTTATGGGTGGCTCAAGGTGTCTAAGTTGAAATTGTGCTTACACTGAAAACACAGCAATAATTCCCAAATTGAGAACAAAGGTCATAATGTTTCTTAAAGTTCACCATTCCAGCTTTATTTTAAAGAGATACTCACCTTTTTGGCAGATGCTATCACTGCAAAACAGGCGATAATGGTGAGTCCAATCATTATGTAACAAGCTTTCACCCGAGCCTTGTTTCTTGCAGCATCTATCATTTCTGGCCTAAACCAAGATGTGTATTCTGTTAATTAATTGAAGCAATCTGCTTTTTTCTCACTGGCATGATAGACAATCATTTGTTATGTAAATATTCCCCAAATTTCCCTGAATGCCAACTGCAGATGCGGAAGACATCCAGAGGCTAGTCCATTATGTTACCAATTTCAAATTAACAGGTATATTTAGGTCTTAATTAATGTTAGTCACCATGAAACTACAGTGTAGTATATTTAGTTTCTAACTGCTCAAAATATAACTACTAGAAATTATGGCCTGACTCTCCATCATTTTTTTTGTCACAGATCAGGGTAAAGGTAAAAATTTAAGTCTATATATGTCTATGACTCGTGTTCATTTGGCCCTTCTGTTATTAAGTGGGCTTCATTTTTAGTTTAGTTTTTTTTTTTTAAGATTTTATTTATTTATTTTGAGAGAGTGAGAGAGCATGGTGGTGGGAGAGAGGGGCAGAGGGAGAGTGAGAGAGAATCTCAAGCGGACTATGCGCTGAGCCTGGAGCCCGAGGAGGGCTCTATCTCATGACCCTGAGATCATGACCTGAGCTGAAACCAAGAGTTGGGCCCTTAACTGACTGAGCTACCCAGCCACCCCTCCTTTTTAGTTTTAAACACGTTGTTTTTTAAAATTCGTTTTCCTCATTTTGTTTTCTCACTGGGCTCCCGATCCCTTCTTGCCCCCTCTCATCTTATCCCCATTCTGTGGGGACCACTATTAGAGAAAAGGTGTTTCCTTTGTGGCTTTTGCATGAGGTTTTCAAGATAAGTGATCAAAATTACAATGATTTGTCGAAGAAAAAGACAAAGTCACCTTCGTTTTCTTATTATTCTGAAATTTTATATACTTCCTTGAATACTGGGGAGACTTATTTATTAATATAAAGTTACAAGCAAGTTGTTTAAGATTTTAGCAATGCTACTTAACAAAGCAGGGTTACAAACCTAATCATGTCTGTAGGCCTTTTATACTGAAATAAACTTTAACAATTTGCAATAATACGAAGTGGTAGTTTATAGATACACATGATTAAAGAATGATTCTTGAGAATGTATGCAGCAGTATTCTTTCTTATCTAATGTCAAGTTTAAATAGAATGTAGTTACATTGAAAAAAAATTTCAGAAAAACAAGTTACAATTTCTTTTAAAAATGAAAAACTTTTTCTTTAACTTTTCCACCAGTTTAAAGAGCACAGCAAGCCAATATCTAGCCTGTTTTCCTTAAATTTGAGACCGGTTAATGTACGTTTTAAGATGTTAGTTGCAAACAGGTGAATATGAAGACTTTATTAGATTATACTTGTTGCTGACTTTTGTTCCAGATGGAGCCTAGAAGATATGATCTTTTTTACCCATCCATCTGGCTTTGATCTGCTATACCAAATTAGGTTTGTGCTGAAAAAACAAGAAAAAGCATTATTATTAAATATCATTAGTGTATGATACAAAGATTATAGGTCACTTGTTAATTACATGTCCATTAAGAGCATACTAAGTGAAAGCTGTTCACATTGTAAGTCTAAAACTTAGTTTGGGAGGCATATCCCTCTTCAACAGCAATACTTTAAAAAATTATAGAAAACAGGGTGGCTGGGTGGCTCAGTTGGTTAAGCAACTGCCTTCGGTTCAGGTCATGATCCTGGAGTCCCGGAATCAAGTCCCACATCGGACTCCCTGCTCAGCGGGGAGTCTGCTTTTCCCTCTGACCCTCCCCCCTCTTTGCTCTCTCTCAAGTAAATAATAAAAACATAAAAAATTATAGAAAACAACACAATGAAAAATATTCAAATACTTTAATATTTCCAATGCCAAACTATAATTCCTTTCTTAGACATCTTATTTGAAGTTAAATTCTCCTGTTTATAACATTTCTTTTGACTGCGATCCTGGGGAAATTAAATTATTTCTATAAAATGGGTCTCTTCACACATAGAGCTATATTAATGCAATATTGGGCCTACTGTCTCTTGACAAGCATTAATTTACAATACTGCAGGTTCTTTACCTTCTTTTTTTTTAGTTATCAGTTTATTTATTTTTATTTATTACTGAAGTATTGATTACTCTGTTATAGCACTAAAACTCAAAATTCCAAAAAATTAGGGATGGTATTTTAGCTTTTCTGAGGGTAATTTCTGCTTTGGGCTAAGTCTGTAGTTCAGAGTCTACAGATCTCAAAGAAAACAGTATTTGTTTTATAATATTAAAAAGTGTCTCTGTGGTTGAATAAATGCTGAATACAGATTTCAAATTCTGTGTTATTTCAAATTCCATGTCCTTTCCTCATTAAATAATTTGATCCAAGAAAGAGATAAAATGTTTGAGAATTCATTATTGACCGAACATTTCCCATCACATGTTTTTTTCCATTTATTTGATATGCTTTTGGTAACTAGTAAATTACAAAGTAATAAAAGTGTAGACAAGTACAGCTGAAACTAATGTAACATTGTGTGTCAAATATACTTCAATGTAAACAAATGTAACTTTAAATTTTAATTTTAAAAAGTGTAGGTAATATGTGCAGAACAAGATGTAGGCCTAGTTTCCGTTATTCATTCTACTAGGCATTGATTACATTGTATAAAAATTATGTACATGACATCTGAAATCCTTATTTGATATTAGTTCTAGTCTCATTTTTTTTAAAGATCAGCTTAAAAAGTAGTAGATTGGTTTTATTGTTAGTTTCCTTCATTCCCTTTTTTTAATCCACTCCCTTGTAAAAAATGCTGGGAAGTATTTTGGGCTTGCATAAACTGAAATTGTAGAAAGATGGTTTTTACAGGTTAAATTTACCCTTGGGGTGAGGTTGTCAGCTTGAGTTTTATCATTTAAGCGAGTCTCTATCTCGGTTTTGGGATGGTGAAGAGGCCAGCGACGCTGACGCTCCGAGGGTCCTAGCCCGAGTAAACCCGGCACTTGGTGGGCTGCAGAATCAGGTACACCAGGCTTCTCCCGCCCCAGAATAGGAGGTCGTGTGGGTGCGGCTTCCTCCCAGAGGCTCTTTAGTCCTCCCAGGAGCCACGAGCCTTCGTTGGGTGGAGCAGGGAGCTGCTCCCCGGGCAGAGCCCCTCTCCCTCTCTGGGGAGCCCGCAGGCACCCGAGGTGCACGCGCGGACCATGCCTTCCGTGTGGCCTGAGCGCTCCGCTGCCTTGCGGCTCTGAGCTCCCTGGGGCTGGTATCTGGGCGATGGTGGAAGTGCCCACTGAACTTCTGGGGTTTCGCTCAACTTCACCAATCTCCTTGTAAGCTTAGGTGCCCACTGTTCAGTCAAGGCATTTGACGTTGAACCGCACTAGGGGGAGGCTGGGGAGGTACATTCCTTAAGGTGGTAAGTGCTGTGAAGCGCTGCGGCCGCCTTCTTTCCAGGGCGCGCGGCGGTCGAGACGTGCATCGACCGCGCACCCCCCACGCGCACGAAACCTGGCCACCGCACAGGCCACACTTACGGGATCCGAGGCGGGATGTCCTCCATCGCTTTGAAACGCCCGGTCCACAGCAGGATTTTCTTATCGAATTGCGAAGGCTTGTATTCGGCGGGGACCCGGTGGACCTTTCCTGCTGCGGAGGAACCGACTGACCGACGGCACAGTGGCTCAGAGCGCACTCACGCCTCTACTCCTTCCCTCACCCCAGCCCCGGCTCCTCGCCCGCCGCTCCGCACCCCCTCCCTCTCAGGTCGTTCCCAGCCCGGCCTCACCTGGACCTTGGTGCTCAGAGCCGCTGGCCGCCCGGCCGCTGCAGTAGCGGGGCAGACCCCGAGGCCGCAGAGGCGCGATGGGCCGGGGCGCGGCTTCTCCGTGCGCTCCCGGGGCCCAGCGTAAGATGCGCCCCAGGCGGATGCGCCGGAGGCCCCCGAAGCCCCCGACAGCCGCGAACATGCTGCGCCTTGTTCCCGCGCTTCCAGCCACCGGCGGAGCTCTGCCGCCGTCCCCGGCCCGCTCCGCCCCGCGGCGCTCCCAGGGGAGCCCGGGACGCGCAGCTGGAGCCTCGGGCACGTGCACGCTCGCTCCCGGTCCCCGCCCCCGGCCTGAGACCCTGGACCCGGGTGCCACGACCCTGGGGGCCGATTCATTGGCGGGCGGGGCCCAGGGGGAGACCTGTCTCTGCTGGAAAACTCTCGGAGCAGATTCACCACCTCCTGAGACTGCAGCTCCCTTTAAACGCATTTCTTTGTGTCTAGTAGAAACGCGTTTCCATTAGGCCTTCACCCTTTGGTTCCACTGTTTGGTGTCAAGAGAGTAAATCTAAACCCTCTCCTCCAGAAAGAACCAACAGTCCTTCAAGGGCAAGATACGCCAGATGTTTTCCAAGTAAGTGTGAGGACATGCAACAAACTCTGAATTCCCGCATGAAGAGAGATTTTGAAGTTGGCTCCTCATCCTGCCCTCCACTCCCATACTTTTTCTCTTTCCTAGGCAAAACAACCTCAGTTGCTGCAATTTGTTTTTCTCCATCTCTTCATTTCTTCCTAAGACCACAAACTCTCCAAATGTTCTTCAAAATGAGCCTTTCTTCTACCTTCCTCCATTTTCCCTCTGCAAAAAAGGGGGTGGGGGATCTGCTCTTCTCTGGCATCTAAATGGAAACAGGGACTCAGGGAAAGGGCTTGTAGGAAAGCCGTCTACTCTGAAGGATTTTACTTACTCTGCTTACTCCTATTCTCGGGCAACAGACCCCAGCCAGGTAAGGGTGCTCTTCAGGACCCAGCACCAGGCCTTGCTCAGCCTCCTCCTGTTATTGTCTCTGAGGTTCCTTCCAGAGCCAGACACTGCCTTACACTTTTAGTTGGATCTCCAGATACTTCTTTTCTTCCTAAACAGACTGTCAGGCTCTTGAAGGCAAGATCCCTGAACCTCCAAGTGTTTTTCACATAACCGTGCTTAATGAAAGAGGAGAGTCGGTACAGAAATATGCATTCAAAGGAGTGGTTGTAGAAAGAACACAGGCTTTGCCTTCATACAAAGGTTGAAGCCCCTGATTTGTGCCTTAAGAGTCTCACAATCATAAGCAAACCATTTACGTGATCAGTCTTGGTCTCATTTGTAAAAGTATTCCTACCTCTCAACCTCATTCATGCAATGACTACAAAAAACGGTACTGTCTGCCGGCTACTTCCCAGAGCCGGGGATAGTTGCTTGAACAATGTTAAGTGGAAACCAGTAGATGAAGAAACAAAACACAGGATGAAAAAAAAAGTAAGCAGGGGTGGAGTGGGGAAGCTATTTAGAAAGCTTGGCTAGGGAACTGTGCCTGGCCCGTAGTAACATTTCAAAAGATGTTATCATTTCTTCCTTTCACATCTTTTGTTTCACTAGTCCCAAAACACAAGGGCATTTTAACTTGTGAAATCTCATGGAGCGAATTGTAGGAAGCTATGCCCTCCCGGAAGGTTAAGGGTTATGTTTTATTTAACACTATATGCTTAGGATGTAGCTGAAAATTTTGGCATGTAGTAGATCCTTAATAAGTATTTGTTAAGTGAATAAATGAGTGCAAGTCTTCAATAATAAAACAGACTCTGTCTGGGCTAGTTTAAGAAAAGACTGAAGTATTTGAGGATGTGCTACATGATGAACCGAGTGAATTCTTGCTTGACAAAGTATGTTGCCATAGATCATATCTGATTGTTTCAGGAATATGCTAGTTGAAAATTCTCCCATTGCTCAGACGTGTTCCTTTTCCTTTTAAGATTTTATTTTTCTTCATGTTTCTGAGAAAAACATCTCTGGGAAACAACCCATCATTAATAGTTCACCAAGGAGTATTAAACTAGCCAAGTAAGTTTATTTCCCTGGAAAGAACTAAATGTCAAGCATCTACACATGATTTTCTATCTCCAGCTTCTCTAGAATTGCAGAATGACAGAGCAAAAGAAGAAGAGCTTCTATCATGAGAAAAAGAACAATTTGCATTCTATTCTCTATTCCTTATGGGATTAAAATATCACTATTTGGCAGTGGTCTACATAAAAAAAATATAGCTGCATGGGAGATGTTTTCTTTAGTTCTAGAATTGAACCAAATAAAAAAAAATACTCAAATCAACTTCTAATAGAAGAAAAAGCTAATTGTAGTTAATTGTATTCCTTCCTTCCTTTCTTTTGCTTTCTTTCTTTCTTTCTTTTTTTTAAAAACCAGGACGGCTTATTTATTCATTCAACAAATATTTACTGAGTGCCTCCCGTGTGCTAGGATCTGAGGTTGCAGCAGGTAAGCAAATAAAAAACTCTTTGCCTCTTAGAGAGCTTATTACTAATCCATGGTGGTTTTAGTTTACCCATTGTATACTATATTATATTACTTTTCAATCCCTGGTTCATCTGATTTGTATATACTATTTTCAATTTTGTTCCTTCAGGGCTTGTTTTTGGTTAGTATGGTTTATGTTTCCATTTCTTAGGATGGTTTATGTTTCCATTTCTTACGGTTAATTTAGTTACACTGTTAAAACTAGGAATATATTTTAAATAAGACTATTATGTAGACTGAGTGGAAAGTGTGGGTAAATTTTAAATTATTTTATTATTATTTATTATCGAGAGCTACTGTGTGCTTCCTACTGGACTAAGGCAGGAGATGCCAAGATTACCACTGAGCTATCCCTGAGAAGCCCCACTCTGGCTAGGATGATATTCCCTCATCAGGAAAGGTCTTGCTTCCAAAATAGGGACCTTAGCTAATTTGTTTTCCAGTCCCCTACCAGTCTGTCTGTAGGGAAAGTTGTAAGGTGACAGTTTACCTGCAGACCCAACTCACTGGAGTCTCCAGTGCTTCGGGCAACCTTATTTAAGTACGTGGTCCAGGCAGCGGCCCAGCGACCCAATAGGTATTAAGCATAGCTTTACAGCACGAGCTGAAACTCAAAATGAGATCTGAAAAACCATTAATGAGCTCCTACATGCAGATCTTGTTGTTATTCTTCTTAATTCCCATTTTCATTGCTGTAGTTCAATCTTTCATTCTCTCTCAACCGTGCCTTTGTAACGACCCCCAAAGCCTTTTCCCCATCTCTAGTCAATTCTTTCTCTCATCCTTTCTCTGCCTAGCCTCCGGAGATAGTTTTGTAAAACACAGATGCAATCATGTAAAACTTTCATGGGACCAGTCTCTTCCCTATTTCCTCTCTAATCCCACACTCCACATCCCTATCTACAGACTACAAAGAAGACCTTTAAAAAAATTATAATGAGACAGGGAGGACTCTTTCAAAGTCTCCTGCTTTGATATTTTGCAAAGTCTGATTCAAGTTCTCTGCCTTTGTCATATCCCTAGACATTTACAATGTCACTGACCACAGGTAGGTAGGTCACATAGAATTATTATGTGCTATTACTGATGCGCAGCAGCTATTGGTTAACATCACAGTTTAGTTCTGGCTTGGATGGAGGGGTAGGCACTGTGTGTGTAACCAGTGCTCATCAGGACATGGCTGAGTTCTGACTAGATTAGTCGCTTGTTGTCCCATTGTTCTAAACATTAGTCTGAGCAATGCATTCAGAAGAAAGCAGGTGGGATTAACTGCTCCTGCACTATTCAATAATACATGGCTTTTATTTGTTCTGGAAAGAGCAAATCTGAAACGCATATATGTTTATTAAGTACTGTTTAGGCAGACTGCCCCAGGACAGTGAAGGGGCATCTGCAACGGCCATGTCTCTCACATTCTTTGGCTGAAAGGTTATTTTTGTCGCCTACTTCGATATCTGTTAAGACTCTTGCATGTGTCAGATTGTAGGCAATTGCCTAATCACTTTATAATGGAGCAGCCTCTAGTCATCCTCCAGTGATCAATTTCAAACTCCAAAATTCCTGGTAACAATCTCTTGTGACACAGCATTTTATAGTCCCAAGGTCTAAATCTGCTACAAACTTTTTACCCTTGAGGCGTAATAATGACTTTATGTAATTCAAATCTTCATGCTTTCATAGAATTTTAGGATGATTTAAGAATGCTTCTCCAGCTCCCTGTCTCACACCACCCTCCTCAGACACATATAGAGAAGTGGTCTTGCAAAATGAATCAGACCCATTATAAATGTGCAATATAATACGTTTCCTATATACTTACAATTAAAGAAGGCTGTTCATAATCATAATGTGAATGATGCCACCCCAAATTCCTGTAAGATAATTATCTTTTGTCCTACCTGCATTTGTACAAGTCTTAGTCAGCTTCTCTCAACTGCTTGTCTCTCTCTTGACTTACTTGGTCATGTTTTCTCAGAAATTGGGAACTGACTTGTTTGAATGCTTTGCCTATTCAGGGATAAAAAAAACCCCAACTTATCAAAGAATTTTCTTTTTTTTCCTCTTTCAAGCCTTTTTACTTGGGGCTACTCATACTGATTTTCTGATTTCCAGTGTGAAGTATAGTAATATCTAGGCAGAGCTAATTAAAAGGGTGGAGACTAAGTCTTTTTTTTCATACTTCTCATGACACCACCATCTACAGATGGAAACAATTATTATTTATGATCATGATAATAAAGATATACAACAGAATTTGGTACAGATGATTAGCACAAATCATTTAAATTACCAGAGCTCTCCAACAAGAGGTCAGGCTTGGGTTAAAGAACCAAAACCTAGGGAAATTTTTTAAGGTTGAAACTGAATAGCCTACGAGAATGTTATAGAGGTTAAAGGTCAGCTATTTTATTTGTTCATTAATTTCTTCTTCCAGTCTCCTGTTTTTTGAATTTTTATTATTATAAACTATGCTGCAATGAATATTCTTGATATAGCTCCTTGGGTGCATGTGTAATAGCTTGTCTTGGGGTATATACCAGAAATGAAATTTCTGAATCCAGGAATGGTCTCATTTTAGAAATTAAATGTCAAATGTAATGTAATGATAAATATTCTGGGCTTTATTTAAA